AAAAGATATTAAAACACAAGCAGAGGCAGATGATCAGACAATGAGCAAAAAATTACTAACACTCAAAACACACACACCTCCAACAATAGCACACATCCTCTCCTCGAATAAATAACCCCTGCTTAGAACACACAATATTAAAACACCCAGCTCCCAGTTAAACTCAAAACACGCAGCCCATGTACACACCCCGAACAAACAAGAACCTCTGCTCAAATTAGACAGGAATTTACACAATTGCTCAGTTCAAAGGTTCAAGTAGGATATCAACAAAAGGTCACATGGCATGTAATATGGCTATCATTCAAAGAAAAGGCTCAAGCTCAAGGGGGCTAACTAATGGATATGAAGAGGGGTTCGGTTTAAAAGAAAACAAGAAGAAAGGCCACACAAAAGAGGTTCATTCCTAAGTACCCTTATCAATCATATGAATCCATATTCATCCCGAATCAAACATAAACGTGTATAACAAGGCAAGTTCTAGAAAGATCAACCAGTTGTGGCATCACACAATCAATAAAAGGAGCATTATAGTCAGTGTATGCTCATTGGCTCAAGCCTCACAACAAATAGGGACAAATTGTGATAATCCTCGTGCATTCGACTATTAATGATCATTGAAAACAATCAGCCAATCAATATGCAACACACAAGGACTCCAAAAATTTTCGCACACACCAAAATTCTTCAAAAATTGGCATCAGAAAGGGAAATAAGCATAATCACAACTAATATTCAAAACGATCTTGACACCATCAGACAAACATCAGATTGACTCTATCCTTAGCAAAACAAACACAACAGACTCATACTAACAGGACTAACAGGAATAATCTCGACATCAATACAGCAAAAGGCAATCAACAGCAACATATATATAGGCAGCCAAAATCCAACCTTCCACCCCACACTTAAAAAAAACGTTGCCCTCAACGGCACGACACCAAACATGCACAAAGAAAATAAAAACAAGAAGGGATAACGGACTTCCCTCGTCAGGGGTAGCAAGCTAATGCGTGCGGTCGGCACGATCGGTGGCAGCAGTGGGAAGGGGGCCAGTGTTCGCCTGTCGCCGCCCGTCCAGCAAATCCCGAATAAGATCTCGGAGGTTCTGTTGCTCACTCTCCAACATCTCGACTCGAGCCCGAGTCGCTGTGTGCTCAACTCGCAACAACTCTAGCTCTGTGCGCAAGTCGGAGTCTGATGGGTCGGGATTGGACGGGTGTTCGGAGCTCGGCTGCTGCTGCTCGGCTGGGGGTTGCTGTCCTACCGGAGGTCGCTCCGGTTGATCGGGAAAAACGGCGTGCTGCATCTTCACGTTGGCAGCGACGGAAAGGTCAATGAACGCGGGGTTCGGCAAGGCTAGTCTCTCCATAGCCGACACCATCCAGTACCGGATGTCTGCCTCTTTCTTCACGACTCCAATCTGCTCGAGCATAAGCAGATCAAAATGTGCGACACCTCCAACGGTCTGCCTCCCTTGCAAATCGACCCCGAGATGTTCGGCCAAACAAGTCACCAGACCCCCTACCGCGATGGGATCACGACGCGACTGGACCCGAAACAGCCCGTCGATGATAGCCGGCAACAAAATAATGAAATTCCAACGGAAAATTCCATTACAAATATATTGTAATGGAATTTTAACGGAAATTCCAACAAAAACATTCCGTTGTAATGAGTTTTTCATTGCCATTAGATTTTGGCGATTTCAACGGTAGATCTTCCAACGGAGGTAGAAATAAAAATTCCAACGAAAATTGCATATTGCAACGAAAATTCTTACGGTAAAAAACCTTTGGAAAAATAGTCGTTGGAATCATCAAATTCCATCTAAAATTTCAATGGAAAACTTATTCCAACGTAATATTTTTGGTGGACTTTTCGTTAGAATCATTCCAACGGAAGCCGTACCCTTAGAATTTTCGTTGGAATAAAACCAACAAAAAGACCTAAAACGGGTGAAAAAGAAAGACAAAAAAATAATAAAAAATGAAACAAAAATGGGACAAACATATAACCTGCTAAAAACGATTTTAGGAGAAAAATAAATAAATAAAATAAATGGTGCAAATTGGACGTGGAAATTGAGAGTTTTTTTTATAGAATTTCTACTTTCTAGTAGTGTTGATTTCTATGTTATTGTTACTATTTATGTACTTGTACGTGGAGTAAGGAATCATTTATTTAATTAAAAAAAAATAATGCGTGGACAAAAATAAATCAAAAAAAAGTTATCTGGAAAAAAATCAAACAGTCGGATTCTCAAAATCCGTTTTTCCATGAAACACGAATTCCGAAAATCTGTTTTTATTTATTTATTATTTTTTTTATTTTTTTTTTGTTAAAAAACGAATTTTCAAAATCCGTTTTTATTTTTTATTTATTTTTTAATTAATAATAATAATAAAAAACTTAAAAACAGATTTTAAAAATCCGTTTTTATTTTTTAATTATTTTTTAATTAATTTAAAAAAAAAACTGACTAGGTAGCCAATTTCCGTTTTATTGGGCGTATTGCGGATTCTAATCAATGGATTTACCACTGGGGCATTTTATTGGGGAGAGTCTGGGACATTCCCAATCCCATTCTATATATAATAGAAAGTACATTCTTGATCGAATTAGATCGACAATTTAGCACTGATGGAATTTCGATTCTGTTTACTAAATCACATGAAATTTTATCCAACTCCTGGGCTGAAATGTACGAACGACGTATGAACAGAGGAAAAAAATAGAATTTTCGACTTAAATTGAAAGTTGCAACAGATCAAAATGGAAAGACAATGATTCTTCTACAACTACTGCTACCTATGAAGTTAGGGAGTGCGGCGAAGTCAAATAAAAGAAGTATGAGAGAAAAGTGACAGCCAATTCGAAATGTCAAGAAATCCCCCGCCCTTGGGGGATGTCCTCAGCGCCGAGGAACAATGGATTTTCAAAATCCGTTTTTCAGTTTTTTTTTTTTTTAAAGAAAAGCGTTTTTTAATTTTATTTTATTTTTTTACTTCATTTGGACTAATTCGAGGTCGATTACACTATAATTGACCAACATTGTACTAAATTGACTTCAATTCGGGTAATTCGAGGTCGAATACACTATAATTGACCGAGACTGTACTAATTTGACTTTAAATAGACTAATTCGAGGTCGATTACACTATAATTAACCGAGATTGTACTAATTCGACTTCAATTGGACTAATACGAGGTCGATTACACTATAATTGACCGAGATTGTACTAATTCGACTTCAATTGGACTAATTCGAGGTCGATTACACTATAATTTACCGATATTGTACTAATTTGACTTCAAATAGACTAATTCGAGGTCGATTACACTATAATTAACCAAGATTGTACTATTTCGACTTCAATTGGAGTAATACGAGGTCGATTACACTATAATTGACCGAGATTGTACTAATTAGTCCAACTGAAGTCGAATTAATACAATCTCAATCAATTATAGTGTAATCGAACTCGAATTAGTCCAGTTGAAGTCAAATTAGTATAATCTCGGTAAATTATAGTGTAATCGACCTCGAATTAGTCCAATTGAAGTCAAATCAGTACAATCTCGGTCAATTATAGTGTAATCGAACTCGAATCAGTCCAATTGAAGTCGAATTTCTACAATCTTGGTCAACTATAGTGTAATCGACCTCGAATTAGTCCAATTGAAGTCGGATTAATACAATCTCGGTCAATTATAGTGTAATCAAACTCGAATGAGTCCAATTGAAGTCAAATTAGTCTAATTGAAGTTAAATCAGTACAATCTCGGTCAATTATGGTGTAATCGAACTCGAATTAGTCCAATTGAAGTCGAATTAGTACAATCTCGGTCAACTATAGTGTAATCGACCTCGAATTAGTCCAATTGAAGTCGGATTAGTACAATCTCGCTAAATTATAGTGTAATCAACTTCGAATTAGTCCAATTGAAGTCAAATTAGTACAATCTCGGTCAATTATAGTACAATCGAACTCGAATTAGTCCAATTGAAGTCAAATTAGTACAATCTCGGTCAATTATAGTGTGATCGAACTCAAATTAGTCAAATTGAAGTCAAGTTAGTACAATCTCGATTAATTATAGTGTGATCGAACTCAAATTAGTCAAATTGAAGTCAAATTAGTACAATCTCGCTAAATTATAGTGTAATCAATCTCGATTTAGTCTAATTGAAGTCAAATTAGTACAATCTCGGTCAATTATAGTGTAATCGAACTCGAATGAGTCCAATTGAAGTCAAATTAGTCCAATTGAAGTCAAATCAGTACAATCTCGGTCAATTATAGTGTAATCGAACTCGAATGAGTCCAATTGAAGTCAAATCAGTACAATCTCGCTAAATTATAGTGTAATCAACCTCGAATTAGTCCAATTGAAGTCAAATTAGTACAATCTCGGTCAATTATAGTGTAATCAACTCGAATTAGTCCAATTGAAGTCGAATTAGTACAATCTCAATCAATTATAGTGTGATCAAACTCAAATTAGTCAAATTGAAGTCAAATTAGTACAATCTCGCTAAATTATAGTGTAATCGACCTCGAATTAGTCGAACTGAAGTCGAATTAATACAATCTCAATCAATTATAGTGTAATCGAACTCGAATTAGTCCAGTTGAAGTCAAATTAGTACAATCTCGGTAAATTATAGTGTAATCGACCTCGAATTAGTCCAAATGAAGTCAAATTAGTACAATCTCAGTCAATTATAGTGTAATCGAACTCGAATTAGTCCAATTGAAGTCGAATTTGTACAATCTCGGTCAATTATAGCGTAATCAACCTCGAGTTAGTCCAATTGAAGTCAAATTAGTACAATCTCGGTCAATTATAGTGTAATCGAACTCGAATGAGTCCAATTGAAGTCAAATTAGTCCAATTGAAGTCAAATCAGTACAATCTCGGTCAATTATGGTGTAATCGAACTCGAATTAGTCCAATTGAAGTCGAATTAGTACAATCTCGGTCAACTATAGTGTAGTCGACCTCGAATTAGTCCAATTGAAGTCGGATTAGTACAATCTCGCTAAATTATAGTGTAATCGACCTCGAATTAGTCCAATTGAAGTCAAATTAGTACAATCTCGGTAAATTATAGTATAATCGAACTCGAATTAGTCCAATTGAAGTCAAATTAGTACAATCTCGATCAATTATAGTGTGATCGAACTCAAATTAGTCAAATTGAAGTCAAATTAGTACAATATGGGTCAATTATAGTGTAATCGAACTCGAATTAGTCCAATTGAAGTCGAGTTAGTACAATTTCGGTCAATTATAGCGTAATCAACCTCGATTTAGTCCAATTGAAGTCAAATTAGTAAAATCTCGGTCAATTATAGTGTAATCGAACTCGAATGAGTCCTACTGAAGTTAAATTTGTTGGGTTCGTTAGTACCGTACGGGCTGTACGCAGCGGAATTTAAAATTTTTAAAGTAAGTATTTATCGTATAAATACAACACCCGTACATACTAATTGCGAATTAACAGATCGTCATCTTTAAAATATGCATCATATACAAATTTTGATTTGTTATAATAAAGTAAATACTAATACGAAATATTTACCGAGTGTCTTGAACTCCTTCAACAAAGATGTGGATTGTGGGAATCGGTTCCCGGTTGTAACTTCAACGGCTTGAGGTTACTCGCTTTAGGAATCCAAATGTCTTCCCTCTAATCGTATCCACCCTATGAAGCCCGGTTCCGACGACCTTTCTTCACTAGTAGAAATGTCTCGGTTTTCTTGTATAGGAATATATATATATAGATATAATTTGGGAATTATCAAGAACACTTTCTTGAAATATATGAAGAACACTTTCTTCTCTCTTTGATTTTCTCACAAAATCACTTACTTCTTTGCAAACATTTTGCATCTATTTATACTAAACATTTTAGCATAAAATAATCAATATTTAGTAATATTTAAATAAAATCAAATTTTATTTAAATAGTATTTACTAACCATTGACTTTGAAAATAATAAGATATGTTAAGTAGTTCAAACAACCATTAACAACCATTTTATTATAATCATATTTCTTATTTTAATCCTTAAA